ATTGGCACACATATCCTTATGTAAAAGCTAACAAAAAGTTGTAGACCCAAGCTCAACCTTTTGGGATTTGGATAGGAAGATTTAGATGGCAATTGTGACTCATGTCCACTAAAACTCATCTAAACTCCCACTTGGATTGAAACTCACTCTATGTATAAGAGACTATGAAATATTTTTCCATACATCTAATTACATAAGGTTAGAGGTTAGGCCATCTCACTCGGTAATCTAAACAATTTAAGAATTTGAAAACGCCTTCGGAATTAGATCGGTTATGCTAAACCTTGTTGCAACTAGATCCTATTTATTAGGCTCGGATAGGTTTTGTCAACACACACACATTTTGACAAGTTTTGTCAAATTAGGAGGGAGAGTTTCTAAATGCAATATTTGATATTTTAAGACGATATTTAAGCTTCAAATATTTTATTGAATTATTGGAATTATAGCATGTTTAATTAATTTATTTATTTTTATGATGGATTAAAATTTAGCTATCTATAATTATTGGTTATTTGAATTTTTATAAAGTGACATTTGCTTATGTCATTATGGAAGTATCAATTACATGTTTTATAAGGTGAGATTTGCTTATGTCATAATTATAGATGCATGCTTAAATAACTATAATTTTGATTATATTTTTTTTATTATGTAATATCTATTACTAATTATGTTTTCTTTCCTACAATTAGTAATATATTTTACTAACATAGAGCAATAATAAATTATTATAAGAAAATTATTTTCCTAAAAAATTAAAGTAAATACCTAAAAACATTTTAAATTATCATTCTATATCATTTTATTATGTTGGAACAAGTCAAGGTAGAACAAATTAAGTAGAAACTTCAATAATATAATTTTTTAAAAATTATTTGGATACTTTTTTTATTATATATAGAGACCACAAATACAATATTGGTTTAGAAAAAAAATATGGACAAAGGTAGATTGAAATGATGAAATTAGTATCGATTGATGTGAAAACTAACTTAAAAATGCATAATTATCTCTAAATATATATAAAAACTAAGTTATTGTTTAATAGTGTATAGTTGGCACATCCAATCAGCCTAGCTATTTCAATCTACCTTTAGTTAGGTAAAAAAATAAGCGTGTTTTGGTAGTGTTTTAATCATAAAAATGATGAAATTAGTATCAATTAATCTAAAAAACAAGTTGAAAATATACAATTATCTCTACATTTAATCTCCAACCTCTTTTCAAAAATAATAATAATAAACAATTCTAAAGGAAATTTAAATTACACCTACAAAATATATATTTAATAAAATTAATTTTTTTACAAAATTATGATTCGTGCCAAAAAGTTATAGAGGTTGTTCAAATAAACTCTACAAAATATCTCTATATTTAACAAATTTGCAACTTTTTATTAATTGTAATTGGTGCTAAAAAAATATAGATATATAAAAAGAAAACTCGTCTTGAAAGAAATGGTACCACCTAGTGGTGGACACAGAACCAAATGTCCACGAGGTTAAAATAAATGTTTATAATTTTGTAATGGTTTACGTAAACTTATATATATTATAAATATCATAGCAACATATATTTTAAAATAGTCTCAAAATACAATCACTCAAAATAGAAATCTTCATTTTTTCAAGTCACTAAAATCATTTATAAGCAAATATATACTAAATTTTTCAGTAATTTCTTTTTCAATATACACTAATAAACAATCGAAAAGAAAGTCATCTTCCATCTTGTTACGAAATTTAGTGTTAACTATGCTCATAGCTAAAAATAATCGCTCCGTGATAGTCGTAGAAACCGAAGAGTAAGAATAAATGTTATCACTCTATACACAAGTGGATAACTTTCAAATTTTCTTATCTTCATCAACCATTGAAACAAAATCGGATATAGTCGACAATGTTTCAAAATCGAAAGATTCTATATATGATCAAAATGCTCAAATTGCATCCTTAACTGCAGACATTTCATGATTGGCAAAGTCTTGAGAGTAAAACTTCGCTCCAACTTACAAATAACATCAATCCGAAATGACATGCGCATCTCTCTAGGATAATTTTCCCGTGCTGAATAAATATTTTATATGTTTTTCGATGCATGAATAGTAACGTTTTATACAAAATAAATGTTTTGACTATTTTTAATGTGCATGAACATTGTTCTATTTGCATAAAATATTTGCTTGAGGGGTGCCGATTATTATGCGCCATTGGGTGAATTTTTTTATGTTCAGTGAATATTTTCGATGCATAAGTAGTGCTTTTTTATGTAAATTAATTATTTTGATTATTTTAAATATGTTTGAAAATTATCCAATGTGTATATAAAAATCATTAAGAAAGTGTAAGAATATCTTATGAACTTAGGTGAATTTTTCCGTGCATAGGAAATATTTTATATAGAAATAAATGTACTATTACACTTATTTAAAGTCCTCAAATTAATTATTTTGTGTAAAAATACACTCATTTATCCGTAGGCTAATTACAATTCCAATTGAAGCACTCTAAATAAAAACCAATTAAAGCATGAATTATGATGATGTCATATTGGAAGTAAAATTGGAACAATATAAAAAAGATGATAAAAGAATGTGGCATTGAATGAGATGTTTCATGAGGGGAAAAAAAAAGTTAGGGGGGCCAAGTCCCCTGTAGTGTTCTATGTGGATCCGCTCCCGATACCACCTAGTAGCAAGCGTGGAAATAAAAACATCATCGAGAAAATAAAAATTATGACTTCAAGTTTTGCAATGAAACCATGAGTTTAACAAAATATTGAATTCATTTGAAACATGTTTTTATAGGATTTTGCAAAGATGAAAGGACAAGAAAATAAATAGAATTAAGGATCCTTGAAGACAATGGTGCAAACAACCATTTTCTTTTTCTTTAGTTCTCAAAGAGGAAAATGATTTCAAGAAGAAGAATACCTTTAAAACAAATCCAAGAAACTCACTAAAATCTCACTTTGTCTCTACAACATATCAAAGAACCCAAGCCACCATTTGGCCCTAAGACTTCATAGGCAATAATATATATATATATATATCCGTGTGTGTGTGTGTGTGTGTGGCAAAACCCTTTAATTATGTCTTGCAAATTAGTTCCTCTTATCATTTCTTTTCTTTTGTTTTAAAAATTAAATATTCTTGTATTAGGTTTTGCATATTCGGAAAAGTCTAATGTTATCCAAATCATCTATTTCAAAAAATTAAATATTCTTATACATGTGTAAACAAATATCTTGAATTTAAATTTTAAACTCTAAATCATAAAAAAAATTTCTATCCAATAAAAGTTTATATAATGAGAATGATTTCATGATTGAAAAAATTTATGATTTTTCTTATTTTTTAAGTTCAAATCTTAAAGTAAGCATATAGAAGAATTGATTAAATTATTCTCAATGTATTGGGCTAATGTAAAGAATGTATTCTTAAAATTATTGAAAGAAGAATTTAATTGCCATTGACATGTAAACTGGTAAAAAAGGCCTTTATTTAAAAAAAGAGAATCTTATGCAAATCAACATTTAGGACAAGCTTATTCACTTTCTTTGAAAACTTAGATAAATACATACATTGTATGTTTTGCTTCCAACTTTTTATAATAAAATTAGATGAAGTCTGGACATCAATATCAACATCAATGAGATAAAACATTGAAATTTTAATACAACAATTTAATAGTTGTTCTTTCTTAATGAATGCAATAAAAGATGAGTTTGGTAATTAACACATGTCTCTTTTTAATCGAGTTACTAACGTCAACTAATGAAAGAATATGATAATGACAAAAATGTATCTTATATGGTTGATATTAAAATAAAAAATAGTAGGAAAAATTTTAAATATAAAAAAAATGGACAAAAGCATTTACCCATTTCCCGACCAAAAACTTGTTTAAAAATGGATTATATAAGGCATCATGGCATGGTTAGATAAAAAATCTTCAATATGGTTCTACTTTGATATTATTGCATGATTGTTGTTTAGGATGGATAAACCTAAGAACTAAAAATTTGATTTTCATGCCTTGTTTTAATGGTGTGTTTGTATATTTGTTATATTGTGAAATCTTGAGGTCAAATTATTATTGACCATGATGCAATTAGCAAGTTTAGAGCATTGAGAAGACCTTGCATGTTTATATTTGTTTTAGTTGGAAAATTAAGTTGTGTGATTTAATCAAGCTAAAGAAACAATCATTATTATACTGTTTAGGAACATGATATTATTTTTCTCGTGTCAAAAAACTAAAAATAGAAATCAAAAGGGCAAAAATTGGCATCATCATACGGCCTTTTAAGCTCAATATTAGTTTTCAAATGAAAATTTACATGGGAAAAATCTCTATTCTCTCCTCTTTCCTCTTGCTTTTCCTTGAGAGGCAATAATAATTTGAGTAAATTATAAATTAGCCTCTCTCGTTTTGAGAAACAAATTAACCGATATTTTGGTTTCAAAACCTAATTATTTAGTCTTTTTTACTATTTTTAATTTAATTTATTTTTTATGAAATATATATATATATATATATATATATATATATATATATATATATAAAATAAGTAAAAATTATGAAAAGATTGATAAGGAGATGATATTTTTTTAAAAAATATCAACTTTGGTTAAAAGGATTAAATAATTGAGTTTTGAAACAAGAAGAACTAATTAATTTATTTTTCAAAAAGAGAGGGACTAATTTGTAATCTACTCATATAATATTAATATTTTTTTAAGAAAAACTAACCATAAAATTAATAGATGTGTCAATTCGGCGACGTTTTCACTTGTATTTATCTGGCTGCTAGCCTTTTCCTGCTTCTCCTTCTTCTCCTCTCTCTCTCCACACAAACACCCACAACACCCCCCCCCCCCCCCACACACATTTCCAATCGCTTTCTCAGCGCCCAAACAATCCTGCAAATGCAAAACACTTGCAATTTGATTTTCATTTTCTAAAATCGTCCCCCTAATTCAAGAAGAATAGAAAATGTCATGGTCAAGCCTTGTTAGTGCTGCAAGAACAGCAACAAATCGCAATCTCATGCTTTCTCAATTCAAATTTCTACACCAAAATCATCACCCTTTTCAACAACCCAGGTAAATAATTATCTTTTATTCTCATTTAACTAACAACCCGTTTCATTAAAATTTCTAACACAGACACTCTTTCTCTGTTTTAATTTTATTTTTAATTGTTTTGGCAGTTACAATAAAAGGATTTCAGTAACAAGAAGATGTGAAATCAAGAGGCATTTTTCTACTTCTTATCGAATAGGTGGTGGTTCTGCTGCTACTAGTAATACTAGTAGAGAGCAGAAGTCAAGAAAGACGTTAATTTATTTGACGGGTTTGGTGATTGCTATGGTTGCTTCTAGTTATGCTGCTGTTCCTCTTTATAGAAGGTTATGTCAAGCCACTGATTATGGCGGTACTGTTCAACGCCGCGAGGTTTTTTCTTCTTTTTATTGTTTTTTTTTAAATCACATTTTCTTGCTGTTCCTGTTCTGTTTTTATGTGGTTATATAACAAAATGGTTTGTAGAAGTGAATAGTGTTGATCAATTCCATGGATTGATGAACAAAGTTCCTTGCTGGTTATAACAATGTGCTTTTCTTGAAGTTTTAAGAGTTCTATTGTTAAATAAACTAGTCCTTTTACTTATACTTTGTTAAATATCATCTAATAGTTCAAGAAGCTATTGGTTTGGAGAATCTCTGATGGGATAAGCTTGTTGTGTCTTCAAAACTCAGTAGAGGACCATACACAAAGTACTAGAAGAGCAAATGGAGGTGGCAGTATAAAAGAACAAATTATAGTTAGCACTTGCTCTTTCTGTTTGTTCTTCCAGTTGATATGTAGTTTAAAATATTACTTCAACGTGCATTTTGTTTTTCCGTCATTTGTTTGTTTATCATAAAGAACCTATATTATGTTATCGTAATTGGTTTCAAATCATAGTGATAAAAAAAAATTCTAAGCGATAAATTTCTACTAGACTTAGACAAAAAATGTCAGAGGAATGATAATCGACATTATCAAATTATTTAGAGAACAACATTATTAAATGAGACTGAGAAGTTAATTGCACAATCATCTTACAATCAAATCACTAGTAGCAATCCAATCTGGTAAACACGGATATGGATATGGGATGTGAAAATAATACAAAAGAAGCTTATATTTTTCGATCTGTCAGGAAGGATCTTTAAACTAACATAAAAGAATCTTCTCTTTGGTTAGCTTTAAACATCGGAGACATAGAGTAACATAAAAAAGAACAAAAATCGATATCAAAATCATGCTACGACCCAAATGGGCCTTACCATATTTTCCATCTATCTGGACATTTCTTCTTTGCATATTCAAAATAAGATTTAAACATTCTTTACTTTTAGATGCTTATTTTATATATATAATGCATATCCAAGTGCTTCAGGAATATTTTTGTATTGAACATTTGCCCAATATTGATAGTGAAGGGGTTTTAGAGAATCCATTCTTCCTAGAGAAAATCGATGACACATCATACATGAAAATAGTCTGGAGCCATTTACTGGTTGTGCTTTGTCAAAGAAATTGAATGCTTATAGCAAAAATGTGGTTGTCAATAGAATGAATCTTTAGAAAGGCATCATTGCTTTAAGGGTGAATTGCTCAATTTAATCTTATATAATACTTTGAGTCTTCAATCTAATCCAAGGTTTCAAATTGCATCCCATCTATCATTAAATTTTTTTAAAATGTTCAATTTGTCTTTCAGATTATAGAACATGCAGGTCATGTGTTTTTTTTTTTTTTTTTGGCATTTCAATAAAGGGCATTGTCAAAATTTTGTAAATGGTCTGAAAAATTAATAGAAAAGACAAATTGAACGTTTCAAAAAAATTTCAAAGACAGATGAAATACAATTAGAAACCTAAGAACATATGGGAGACTCCGGGTATTATATAAGAAAAGATTAAGCTGTTTGCCCTTGCTTTAATTTGTTCAGTAATATTGGTTTCTTAATGAATAAGTTTGTAGCACTTGAAAAAAATCAAGAATATCTAGCAAATTAATTTCCAAAATTCCTTGTATGTTTGGAGTGGATATGATTGTTATTATTATTTACTTTACTTTTTTGGGTTATGTTTTCATTACAATAGCTAATTGAGTCCAACTAGAAAAAGAAAAAAAAAAAGAAAAAAAAAAAACAACAACTTGTTTTACCATCGTTGACGTAACCAAAGCATCATCATTTTGCCAGTTGTGGCATGGCATTGGCACGTAGCATTTATATACTAGCAAAAAAATTGCCAATTCAAACTTTCCACGCTGTAAGAATCAAATTCTAGCAATTATACATTCATATCCTGGCGAATCTACCAAGATTACCTTAAATGCTTAAAAGTAATTAAAATGTTGTATAAATTGCCTTGTTAGTCTTCACCAAACTTCATAAGATGGATACACATAGATTGTGTTGATAGAGATGGATGGTGAATTCTCCCCTTGTTCGATTGCTTAAAGAAGGCTTATCGGTAATGTGATATGCCTTTTCTTTCTTGAATGCTTTTTTATTCTTTTTATGTCTTAGGTTTTCTTTGAAATCATCTAATTGCTTTGTTGTATGTTGTGAAAAAACATGATATAGAGGAAAAAAATTAGATGAAAATTAAAGAACATGATCTTGTGTAATAGACTTCTTCCATGCATCTTGATCGTTGAAGTGGATAGCGTTATGAGCTTTTCTAGTTAAATGTATGATTAGTAGATTGGTCTTCTCTCTCAACTTAAAAGACAAAATCTAAAAAATAGAAAACTTTCTTGGTTGTATTTGTCAAGTTTTCATCCACTGAGTGCTTTGATGAAAAGTCTTGATCTTTTTTCAATCCATCTGAGGAGTTATAATTCCATAAGAGATGCAACTTTTGTTTCAAATTGGCTATGTATGGAATGGATATGTTACTCATATGACTTGGTAGAACTGCTTCAATCTGCTTAATTAGATATGATATGTTTACTCAAGTTACATTAATTTTCCTTGATATCTTTGTCATGAGTTGGAGTTATCTAAATAATAATAAAATGAATACTCTAATGGTGGTAAACCGAAAAGAAAAATGAATGAAAAATCTTGATAAATCCCTTTAGAAAGAAAAAGAAACTAATTTCAAAATGGCCCACCTAATTAATCTTTGATTTTATCACAAAAACAGGGGAAAGAAGGAAAAACTATGAAGCAAAAAGTGGTTATCAAGGGCTATAATTTTACCAATTATAGTTGATGCAAAACATGTACAACTGCACAACCACATATGCACCCACAATTATATGTTAGGAATGGATATGTTACTCATGTGACTTGGTAGAACTGCTTCAATCTGCTTTATTAGATATGACATGTTTACTCAAGTTACATCAATTTTCTATGTATGGAACGGATATGTTACTCATCTGAGATGCAACTTTTGTCTCAAATTGACTGTGTATGGAATGGATGTGTTACTCATGTCACCTAGTAGAAGTGCTTCAATCTGCTTAATTAGATATGATATGTTTACTCAAGTTCCATCAATTTTCCATGATATCTTTGTCATGAGTTGGAGTTATTTAAATAATAATAAAATGAATACTCTAATGATGGTAAACCAAAAAGGAAAATGAATGAAAAATCTTGTTAAATCACTTTAGAAAGAAAAAAGAAACTAATTTCAAAATATAAAACCCCCTAATTAATCTTTTATTTTATCACAAAAACAGGGGGAAAATGGAAAAACTGTGAAGCAAAACGTGGTTGTTATCAAGGATTATAATTTTACCAATTATAGTTGATGCGCAAAACATGTAAAAAGGCACACTCACATATGCACCCACAATTATATGTTAGGCCAGGAATAAAAGAATGATTGTATGAAACTAATTTATTTGCTTACAGTTTTTTTCCCCTCATTTTCAAACTATGAAAACACTCTTAGCTTTCACCTGTGGCTTGCCATTTAGCATACAATAGAATGATAGTTATTGGCTGTTATGCACCTTGTTTTATTTTTACATGACAACTGTAGTTCTTTATTGCTATTGAATGATTATCCATTGTTTAGCAGCTAGCCTTTTGATTTCGAAACAACACCTAGTCTGTTGTTTTATGTTTGACATGCTATCTGTTTCATTCTTCTAGTTGTTCAACATTGAGGACTTATTTTTGTTTTACGAAATTGCTTTTCATGGATGCTTTTTTATTGGTTTTTTCTATTCTAATACATGTGTTTTGAATAATTATTTAGTAATTTTAGTTTTGTCACCGTTATTTGCTTTTCAGTTTCTTGTTTTAGTGGAGCCATAACTAGGAAATGCCATTTTATTATTACTGTTTTTGTCAATATTGGAATAATTCAAGATGAGTGTTAATTAGTGCTTTATTGGAACATGCATTCCATTGAAAAGGAAGTTCAAGTAACTATACCAACAGCAATATTGTCTTTTGACAAGATTGTGAGGTGAAAAGGAAGTGTTTAATGCCTTTATCTTGAGTTCAGGTGTTTTGTAATGTTGAGCTATTTCCCAGACTCCCTCTCTCAATCCCTCTTTTCTTGGAAGGAATGATATTAAACGAAACCATTTAGCTGCAAATGATAAGATGGTCATCAAGCTCAACCTAATTTTACTAGTTAGGAAAGACTTATGCCAACTTCATCCTTGATTGTAACCCCTTATTACCATGTTTAACAAATACGGTTCCCTTTATATGCAACCTATAAAGGGCATGTTTCTAATTATGGTTGATCCAACATGAAGTTCTCTAGCTTCTGTAGCAGTTCTCTAGCTTCTGTAGCAGTACTTTGATATGCAAGTTGAAATGTTCCAATTATTATTTGACTTATTAAAACAGGAATTGGAAGACAGGAAGGAAAAAGAGAGAGAGCAAATATCAAGGCGGCTACTAGTGTGTATCCAGTTACTGTGAAGAGAACGAATAATAACAATTATGTTGAGCCGGGAACAGAGAAGGAGTCCCCGAATAGTGGAACTAAATACTCGGAAAGAAGAGAAAGAAAAGAGCCATATTAAGGGCAAAGAAACACTCGAGCTATCAAGCAAGCGAGATTTGGAACAAGAAAGTTCTTATGCAAAGTCGACAAGAAAAAAGGTGAAGATCAGACTTGTGAAAGATCTGGTCATTGATGCAATTGAAAATCAAGTTGAGGAGGTAGCTTTCGTTATTATACACTTGGTTGATGTTGCATTTTTTATTCGTTCTAATTTTTTCATTATTCTTATGATTAGAAAACTTTTTGAGCTTGCCTATCCAATATGTTTTCAATCGTGAAATTATATTTTATTCTATACTTACTTTCATTAATTGGTCATAAAATATAGATTTTCTCTCCAAGCAAATGTCGTTGCTGGAACTTGTGCTTCTCGCTTGCACTTACTGTTCATCAGGTCAAGTGTACAAGCATACTGAAGACTGTTTTGACACTTGTCACTCAAAAATTAAGCTAAAATTTGATGAATAAAATGGACATTTATGTTGATTGGTCATGTTTCAAACAACAATTACACATATGCAACATTTTCTCTCATAGACACAAGTTAGTAGCATTTTCTATATAGGATTCTGGTTGTTTGATGCATAAGACATTCAATGTTTTAATAGTTTTGGGTGTTGACTGTTGAGAGCTTAATGAAAATATTTACAGGCTGGTTCCTTTAAAGGAGAAGATCATGAAACTGCTGGTGAGCCTCTATTTTATTCAAGACGTAAATTGTAATTTTATCATAGTTGTAATTCAATCCTTGCTTGCAGAAAATCAAACAGTTGATATGTCATCAGCAAGTGGAATACAAAAAAAAGCAAGCTTGAATTCTTACTTGGTATATTGCAAAGGTACAAACTTTTCTTATAAGTCTTTTTATGGCATGTTAATGATGCCCTGGTCTAATATTTTTAATAAACTTATATATTATGAATGTATCTTCATTTCTAACAAATTGATTTTTGCTAACTAAATTCTTTCCTGACCTTTCAATAATCATTCAAACATAGGCGAGATTCACATAGATTCTTTGCAAAGCCTGTAGATCCTAATGAGGTTGGTACATATTATCTACTTATCCATGTTCTATCCACTTTTTCTTTTTGGCTTCCTTGTTCATGTTCCATTGATTTGTCACATAACTAGATGTAACTAATTAGATTTCTTAATCTGGAAGGTTGAATTCTATTATGAAGTCATTAAAGAACCAATGGATTTTGGCACCATTCTTGAGAAACTTAATGGAGGATGCTATAAATCATTGGAAGACTTTGAGGTTTGCTCCTATCAATGTTTATTATTTACTCTAGTTCTTACATTTTTAGATTGTAAGAGTATCCCTAAATTATTTTTCCAATCAGACATGCTAACAGTGATATTGAGCATAGTTTCAATTTTTTCAATCAATCTACAGCGTGATGTATTTCTGGTTGCGGACAATGCAATGCTTTTCAATGCTTCAAATACCATCTACTACAGGCAGGCATGTCCTCGTATTGTTATTGTATGAAAAATTTGTGTGCGCCTTAAATGTGTTGGTTGAAACACATGTATACTCCCACAAATTTGGTGCTATGTTAACTGAACTCAGAATATTATTTTTTCAGGCTCGTGCTATCAAAGAACTAGCCCAGAAGCTATTCCATGCTCTAAAAACTGATCCTGAGAATTTTGAAACGAAGTTTTCTGTGAGAAAACTAGGATCTGGTATAAGGACAAAGGCTGAAGGGAAATTGCTGAATTCTAACTCGTCCAAGACAATTGAATTTGAGACAACATCAAAGGGTATGTCTTGCTTGAATGCCAGGTTATGTTGTCAAGAACGAAGTTGTATATGTTTTAGGTTCTAGGGTTTAAAAAGCTTAATGCATTGTATCTTTTTTTTTTTTTTTTTTAGTAATAAATTTGAAGGTCAAACATAAATTGAGTAAATTATAAATTAGTCTCTCTAGTTTTAAGAAATGAATTAATTATTATCCCTCGTTTTAAAAGCTATTATTTAGTCTTTTGACCGAGTGTTAATCACACTTAATTTATTTATTTATTTTTTTCACAAAATAACTTTTTTTTTATCATCAATTTTTATTTTTTTCATATTTTTTTTTCCTTTCTCTATTTCTTAAAACAAAAAATCAAAATATATTAAAAAGAAGAAAAAAGGACTAAGTTATAAGTAGATTTAAAAACATGAAGACTAAATGATTAGTTTTTAAAAGAAGAGAGACTAGTTAATTCGTTTCTCAAAATGAGAAGGACTAATTTATAATTTACTCAACATAAATTCCTACAAAGTATCCTTATCAACTGCATTGATTACCCCTGAGTATGTATCATGGATAAAGTGTTGAGTATTGCACAGAACCTCAAGAACATGGTTTTGCTTTCCATCCTATGTAAACAGGCTGCAAAGACAAAGATAAATCTGGATACATGGAAGTACAACGGCAACATACCTACAAACCTTGGACTACTTTTCTCAAAGAGAATGAATTAGTGGCCTCCATGGTTTATAATGACTCAAAAGCACTCGAGATGGTAAGCTATAAATGTGTGTGTTTGTTTTGCTATAAGGAATGACTTTTTGGGAAGTTCATTGTAAATGTATTCTAACTATAGGTACTTTCAGTTAAATATTTTTTTGGAGAGGGAGTAATCTTGGAAGTTCATATTTAGAAATATGCATGCAATATCAGCTTGTTAGATGTTTCTAGTCTTTTTGCTTGATATTCTATTTTGAAACCACTTCCACCTCTTACCAAGAAGCAAATCATTTGTCAGTGAGACAATATTGTTATAATTTTATCCTGTCTCATGGTAGAGTTCCAGTGATGCTTCTCCTCATCATAGACTATCTTAGTGTTCATTGTATTTGTTGGTTAACCCAACATTATGTGTCAGTAAAATTTGTGGCCTAATCTGGAGCTAACCTTTACTGGAGTCTGGAGAACTAATGCTAAACACCAAGAGTGCATTTTGTAGCATGAACCTCAGATAAATGCCATAAGTTTTTGCTATATACGTCACTTCACATATATATATGTATTCCATGTTTATTTATTTCTAATTGTTTGTTCTGCTTCGTAGGATGTAAATAATCCTATCAATTATCGTGAGAGCTTCAAACAATTTACAGAAAATTTGGGGCCAACAGCTAACATGGTTGTGCATGGAATGGCAAGGAGATGCTTTCCTGAAGATGTCATGATTTCTGACAAAAATTCGAACCAGCAGCTCCAACATCCAATTCCTTATGGAGAAACATCTTCAAACTTGATGCAACATGCTTTAAATATAGAGCAAACAGCCGAGGCAGGTTCTTCACAGTTAAGGAACCCGTCATTTTCATCATGGTCTGACAAAGGTACAACAGAGGGGCTGAGTAGAAATCAATCTGTGGGGAACATGGATTCACTTTTTGGACAGGGAGTTCATCATGTTGAAACTTTGGGTAACAAGGAACACCCAAGCTATGGAAACAATTTGGAGCGAGACCGAATCTTGAATTTATCTAAGGCTTTAGGGTTGGGGTCACAACCCAGATTTAATGGATGGGTCGAGCAAAAATCAAGAGCAGAAGGAACCAATTCACTCGGTCAAGCTGGGCCCTCATATCAGCAAAGCAGGGCCACTAATCCTGGCAGGGAATTGTGTGAGATTCCAGGTACTACCGATTGGGAAGGGGCATGGGATAAAGGCAATTTAGATCAGGGAAAAATACCTACTTGGTTTCAGCCAGTAGAGTTGGGGTCACAAGCAATGGTTGATGGTCGCTTCCAGCAACAATCGAAGTCATCTAGTGACTGGCTCCAGGAGAAATCAAGATTAAACGGACACAAATTGTCAGGTCGGGCTGGGCCCTCACATCAGCAAAGTTGGGCAAATAAACCTGCTTCTGGTGGGGGATTATACCATATTCAAGGCACTGCTAATAAGGGACACCTGAGATATGGAACCAATTCAAATCAGGAAGATCGATTATCTAAATTGATTAAACCGGTGGAGTTGCGGCCACGAACAATGGTAGATAGTTGCTTCCATCAACAGTCAAAGTTGGCTGATGGTGGACTCCAACAGAGATCAAGATACAATGGAGCAGATTTATCAGGTCAAGATGTGCTTTCCCATCATCCAAACCGGGCAATTAATCTTACTTCTGGTGGGGGATTGTATCAGGTTCAAGGTATTGGTCAGGGGGAGGCTCAGTCTCTAACGGCAATTTAAAACATGGAGGCCAAGCCTCAAATTGGTTGAAGCCGGTCCAACTGCAGTCACAACCTATTGTTGATAGTCACTTCCAGCAACATTCAAAGTCATCTGAAGTGAACTCATCAGATCAAACTGGAACATCAAGAGGACAACAAAAGCATGGCTGGAATATCACTCCCTCTGATAGAGAGGGTATGAAAGCATCAATTGCATACAACTTTGAGATGTGCAAAACTCCCTGGCAAGGGGAGTTAAGCATTGGAGCTCCTCCAAGCCATGGTGAAAAGCAACCTTTTCCAGATGCTAACTTGCTTAAATGGCTTCTTGAGAATTGATGATTTCTATTAGCTGACTTGTTTTATGTTGCGTTTGGCGGTACATTGATGCTAAGTGTTGCTGGATCCTTATGGTGCTAGAGAGAATAATATCCTTTTTAGTGAAAACGAAAAACAAAAATGGAATCTGAATATTATGAGTTCAAAATCGGACTTTATTATCAACAATGCATGGATTATAGACAGGACCTTTGCCTGTTTATTTATTTATTTTTATTTTGTTTTAACAAATGCATTGAATACCATGATACATGGGAACTGGAAAGGAGGTATGGCATTTATGGATTGTGTGGTGTTAGAGATTTACCGTGTTGGGAGGAGATGAAAAGAGAAGAGATGGGTAAATAGTTACCGTCCCTTGTTAGGAATAACCAAGAAGGGAAATTCAGTGGAATAAATTAAAGGATTGATTACTTGAAATACTATGTAGTTTAATGGCGGAAGAACTCTGTATTTTTATTTTTTTAAAAATTACGCCTTATTTGTTTTGACTATGAATTTTTGGACTGGTTAATTTAAAAATAACAACAATATATATATATATATATAATAAGATCTTGCATGCCAGCTAAGCATAGCCTGTGTATTTTCTAACTTGCATTGTCTCTCTTGTTCTAATCCACAAAAGGTTAGGATTAACATTACTAAAAAACCTAAAGGATACGAAGTTTTCACTATTTATTTATTGTAGTATTTTTTTTTAAAGGATTGCGCTACTGGAGAAGCAAGCTCAATTGGGCTTGATAGCAAGCCCATATAGGCCTGGCTTAGCTCATAGGCCTACACAAACAATTCAATTTGCCTTCTTTTTTTTTTTTACCTTCAAATAATTTATTTTTATTACTCCATATATGATTACACGATTTTACTTTTAAATATAAAACTTCGTCTTTTTTTTTTTTGTTCGAAACATTTTCATAAAATACTACTAAAACATAGAGAGAGAGAGATAGCGGGTGTTGCTAGGAGGAAAGGAATAATGGTTTGTTAAAAGGCGGTATTGTATTAGATTTTATTTTTTTATTTTTTTCATATTTGATATATAAGAATCTCCGATTTGAATATTGTTTCTTTTCCCCCTTCTCTAAAGTTTTTGTCCTCGAAAAGAAAAAATGAATATGCATATAGGTTTATTATACCCATTGGCAAACTCATTGATAAATAAATGGTGTCTTTTACATTCATATATATATTTATAGAAATTCCATCATATTTATATTTAAATTATCTTTATGACTTAAACTAATTAAGTGAAGATATATACTTTATTTCTCAAAAAAATTTAATATAAAATTTTAGAAAATAGAGAGAAATAGAATTTTTGTTTTCTATTTTTGTTTTTTTAGAGAGAGAGAGAGAGAGAGAGAGAGAGAGTGGGTGTTGCTAGGAGGAAAGGAATAATAGTTTGTTAAAAGGTGGCATTTTATTAGAATTTTTTTTCATATTTGATATATAAGAATCTTCGATTTGAATATTGTTTCTTTTTCCCATTCTCTAAATTTTTTGTTCTTGAAAAGAAAAAATGAATATGCATATAGCTTTATCATATCCATTAGCAAACTTATTGATAAATAAATGGTGTCTTTTACATTCATATATATTTATAGAAATTCCATCGTACTTATATATAAATTATCTTTATGACTTAAACTAATTAAGTGAAGATATATAATTTATTTTTCAAAAAAACTTAATATAAAATTTTAGACTTAATGAATTTTTGCATTATCATATGAATAAAAACTCTTAATTGTAAAAAAACAAAAAAAATAAATTATATTTCGAGAGGTGCCATTCGCATTCCTCACATGTCTCCTAACCTTTTATATATATATATATATATATATATATATATATATATATATATATATATATATATTGTGTGTGTGTGTGTGTGTGTGAGCGAGAGAATAAAACTAACTTTGAAATACATAAGGCTATTACAACTCGGACAAATGAAGAGTAAAATATTGTTTATTTACTATTTATTTACCTTAGTTCACTATTCATTAGTGGCAATTTTGTGATTTTATACAATGGTATTTGCATAATTTTCTTATAGTTTTTTAGGCATTCATTTTCAAATTTTACACTTCATTCTTTTTTGATCTCTTATGTTTTCAAAATGTATTTCTAAATCCTCATATTTTTAAAAATATTTTGACATCTCATATTTTTAACTTAGTCCATTTTTCTCTCACATTTTTTCAAAATATATTTTTTGTTCCTCATATTTTTAAAAGATATTTTTAGTCTCTTATGTTTTTTGATTTTAGAATAAACACATATATCGGATTATATTTTTTTATTGATTAACATTAATCTCTTAAAAGTTTCATTTATTATAAAAATTCTCATCAAATTAATTTTTTTTTATGTTTTATGAAATTTTATTTGTTAATAAATATGATTTATCTTTCTCTCTGTATGGATTTTTAATATATTTTTTTAATAAATAATAGAAATCACGTGTTTATTTACCTTATTCTCGATATAATTAATTTTTTTTGAAAAAAATTAAATTATTTTTATTGTACTCTATTATCTACATATATAACACTAACTATTTCCTATTAATGTTTTTTAATATTCTAAATTTAATTTGTTTGAAATAAAATAATATTTTAAAAGAACTACCTAATAATTCAAATACATGTTTTTATACCTAATATTATTGATTGTTTTGTGTGTGTGTGGGTGTCTATATATCAAATGTACATATTTTTAAAAAGTTTAAAAAGATTCATTAGTTAATTTTTATACAAAGTTTTATATTGATTATTGATATATTTCTCCGTGTAGTCTTATAAAAAAATATGAAGATATTTTTAAAAATTTTATATTTATATTACTGTAGGTTTTTATTTAAGAATGAATGAATAAAAATAATGAATCTTGTTTTTCTAGAAATGGACATTTTTTAAAATATGAAACTTATAATTTAATTTGCAAGTCAAGAATCTCTTTCATCATAAATTAAGAAGTAAAAATATGAAAAAAAATAACTTTTATAGAAATAAAAAAAATAAATTATTCAAGGTTAAGACTGATTTAAAAATTAAATAATTTATTTTTGAAACCAAAAGAATTAATTAATTCATTTTTCAAAATGAGATGAACTAATTTATAATTTATTTTGAAATTTAAGAATCTCTTTCAATATAAATTAAAAAATAAAATTTATGAGAACCAATTTTGTAGTAGTTTTTATTTCAATTTATTGGCTTTAATATATTGTATACAACTTAGATTTTTTTTTTAAATTATTTATACTACATACTCGAATCTACTAAATATGATTACACACACACACACACACACACACACACACACACACAAACACACTTAGTTTTTTTGAAAATTAATTATGTATCTACATGTATACCAATTATTTATTATTTACTCTTTTTTATGTTCTAAAACCAATATTTTTTTAAAATAAAATAATTAGAATATATATTATCAGTTTTGTTAGTAATTAATTATGTATTTGCATAGATAACACCAATATGTTCTAAAATCAATACTTTTTAAATATAATAATTGAAATACTTGCTTTGAAAGAACCTTTCAATTGTTCTAATACAATTTCTTATGCTAATATTATTGATTATTTTATTAATAAATATGTATAAATCAAATAATTTTACTTAGCAAATAAATTTGATTTACATTAATTACAAGAAATAATATTTTTATTCGCACTATACCATACGAATCGTTGACTTTATGTATATAACGGTTGTTCGACCGCAACGTAGAGCGTGTATTCAACTAGCTATCTCTATTTAATCTTGAATAAAATCTATAAAGATTTTGGGTGTTATGAAAGTTTTCTCATGTGTGATTGAAAATCTTAGAAATATCATAATTTTTAAATGTTTAATTTTTTCTTCAAAACAAGCTGGTTTATTCTTTTATTGGTTGTTTCAAGCAAAAAAACATTATAAAATTGGAGAGTTTTAAGGTTTTTAAAATGGTTAATTTGAAACTCCAAAAAATACCCAAATTTTTAATATTGATTTTTTTTTTAATGAAATTTGATTGTTTATGCTAGAATTTGTTGTTTTGAGCAAAACCCATTAAAAATTTAGTATGTTTAAGGTTTTTGAAGTCGTTAATTTGAAACTCATAAAACAAAAAAACCTTAATTGTTTAATATTGATTTTTTAAACAAGAATTGATTATTTATTCTATGTTATTGTTGGATGCGAGGTTATAGAATGGTTGAAATACACATTCACAATGGAGATCAAACCTTCACTAAGAATTGCTCATTCACATATTGCCTTATCTACTAAGACATGTTGTTCCTAGCCAACAAGTCTTCATTGTGGGTTTGAAAGGATTTTCAATTTGATATGATCGTAGAGTTGAAATAATTGATGAAAAATCCATTACCGATGTATTATCTCGCCCTAGATATTGAAGAGGTTATCTATTTATATGTAGAGAAGGACCCCAATAAAGAGCTAACGGGTTCCCAATGCTAGATTGTTTCTGCCGAATTACAACATAAAGAGGTCAAACTACAAGTACTTTCCTCGACATAATATTAGTGGAACAATTATGAATAACAACGTAAACGAGCATGGTGATGATACTTGTGAGGTTATTGTGAGTGGAAGTGTTAGTTTGGATAATACTTTATTAAAGAATTGGTGGCTAGTCGGATTAATAAAGACCAAGGTTTAGTTAATGACTAGCCGATTGCCCGTGTTATGCTACGGGTCTAGTAGATCAAAATCATTTTAAAATTTTAATTTTTAATTTAATTAATTTATTTAATATTTTTTTTTGTAAATTTTCTACTTAAAAAAATAAATTATTCTTTTTTATGAATTGATTTGAACTAAAATATTAATCAAAAATTAAAAAAAAAACTTTAAAAATATATTTTTCATAATATTGTATTCCAAAAAATAAAGTTATAATTAATGGATAGACTTTTATAAAAACTAACAAATGAAAAAAATTCTAATTTAATGTTGATGAGAAAA